TGAAGAGCTATTTTAACTATATACTAGTATATAATAATGTATAATAAAAGCCTTATCATAAGTTGGCGTTGTTCAAGGAACTTCATTACTTGTTGACAATTCAATCGCTACCAACCAATCAAAATTCTCAAGACACTTTGACTTGGTCTCTCCTTTTGCACTAAAATGGATAAAATGGGTCCCACTTTTTTACAATTTTGATTTATTATACCTAACACATAACAGGAGAGACTACGTAATACGGGAGAAGAGGACTAAACAACCATGAGCCATATTACTTGATACCATCCTATTACTTGGTTCATCACACTCTATTGCGGAATCTGATGCCACATAGAGAACCAAAACCTAATTTTCTTATTATGTATAAAAAAGTTAAAAGATAACTGCTAACTTATTATGTCTTGACAGAAATAAATTTTTATAACAATCACAAAATTGTTTTATATTTTTATTTGGTCTTAAACAAGACTTCAAATTATAGAAGAATCAACCTCATCAGCTCAATAAGCTTTGAACATTGATAGTCCCATCTTTCCTGCCCGTCCTATCAAATGTCAATATAAAACTAAATGAACCATTCCACCATGTTTTCAGGAAAAAAATAAAACAAACTGATACTCCTTGAAAGTTACAAACTGATGCTTCTTGAATAAACAAATCAAACTGATGCTTCTTGAAAGTTACAAAACCCAAATGGGTACGTTAAAATAGAAAAGAGCGAGCGTGTGATGATGGTACTATCCTATCTTGTTTTTGCTCCGTTCGAGATAAGTCAACCAAACATCAAAAGAAAACAAGAAAATATTATTGCGTATTAAACAGTGATCGCGATAAAAGTCCCTATGCTTGTTTAGATTAAGACAGCAAATTTATGCTCTAGTGCAACTACACTATTCAAAATAACAGGAACTCATAGCTATAAATTTTTTGAAAAACAATCCGAAACAGATTCGGATTCGAAGAGATACGGTGTCTGGAAATGGGTTCAAATCCCCTGCTATGAGTTACCCTGCAGTCTCCTGTTGTGAGCTGATGAAAGGCCTTAGTTTGGCCACGTGTGCTTCAGTTTGTAATATGTCTGTGGGCTCCACTAAAATGGTGCAAAACGCATTATTCCGTTAAATCTGCCTTCCGTTAAACATCCATCTCTCGACATCTCTGAAAAAGCCCAAAAGAGCCGACTCTACAAATTAATTGAGCCGTCTCCAAAAAATTAGGTTGAGCCGTCTCCACATTTCTTCTTGAGCCGGCTATCCATTATTTTTTTTTTTCTTTTATTTTTATTTTTTTTTGCTTGGCAAGGAGTCGGCTCTAAAAATTCTGAGAGCCGGCTCCATATTTATTATGAGCCGGCTCAACAACTTAGAGCCGGCTCCATTGAACTTCGAGAGCCGGCTCCATTAAATCCCAAGAGCTGTTAAATTTAGGTGTGAAATTAGTTTGGCAAAGGTGTGAAATTAGTTTGTTAGAACTGTGTGAATAGCTTATTTTGATGGTGAAGATGATCAGTGTCCTTACTTATTAAACTTCACAATGTATTTTTTCTCATAAATATGACATAATAACATGTGAAATGTGTAATTGCCGCATACATGAGAAGATAAAATATTTGGATAACACATTGGTATCTAATGAAGCCAACTCAGTTAAAAAAAAAACAATTATGGAAGATTTTACATTCACTAGAATGGTTATTGAAGATTATAGAAGAAAATCCTACAATTAACCAAGATTTCAAATGCGCTAGAATGCTTAACTAATGTCAATTTTAAGTAAAAAAAAAAAATCATAATTTACACTAACGGATAACAAATGAAAGAATTAAAAAATGTTAAATTTAGGTGTGAAATTAATTTTGCAGAGGTGTGAAATTAGTTTTACAGAACTGTGTGAATAGCTTATTTTGATGGTGAAGGTGATCAGTGTCCCTACTTATTAAACTTCACAATGTATTTTTTCTCATAAATGTGACATAATAACCTGTGAAATATGTAATTGCCGCATACATGAGAAGACAAAATATTTAGATAACACATTGGTATCTAATGAAGCCAACTCAGTTAAAAAAAAAAACAATTATGGAAGATTTTACATTCACTAGAATGGTTATTGAATATTATAGAAGAAAATCCTATAATTATCCAAGATTTCAAATACGCTAAAATGCTTAACCAATGCCAATTTCAAGTAAAAAGAATCATAATTTACACTAACGGATGACAAAAAAAGAATTAAAAAATGTTAAATTTAGGTGTGAAATTAGTTTTGCAGAGGTGTGAAATTAGTTTTACAGAACTGTGTGAATAGCTTATTTTGATGGTGAAGGTGATCAGTGTCCCTACTTATTAAACTTCAAACTTCACAATGTATTTTTTCTCATAAATGTGACATAATAACCTGTGAAATGTGTAATTGCCGCATACATGAGAAGACAAAATATTTGGATAACACATTGGTATCTAATGAAGCCAACTCAGTTAAAAGAAAATAATTATGGAAGATTTTACATTCACTACAATGGTTATTGAAGATTATAGAAGAAAATCATATAATTAACCAATATTTCAAATACGCTAGAATGCTTAACTAATGTCAATTTCAAGAAAAAAAAATTCATAATTTACAGTAACGGATGACAAATGAAAGAATTAAAAAATGTTAAATTTAGGTGTGAAATTAGTTTTGCAGAGCTGTGTAAATAGTTTATTTTGATGGTGAAGGTGATCAGTGTCCCTACTTGTTAAACTTCACAATGTATTTTTTCTCAGAAATGTGACATAATAACCTGTGAAATGTGTAATTGCCGCACACATAAGAAGACAAAATATTTGGATAACACATTGGTACCTAATGAAGCTAACTCAGTTAAAAAAAAAACAATTATGCAAAATTTTACATTCACTAGAATGGTTATTGAAGATTATAGAAGAAAATCCTACAATTATCGAAGATTTTAAATACGCTAGAATGCTTAACCAATGTCAATTTCAAGTAAAAAAAAATCATAATTTACACTAACGGATGACAAATGAAAGAATTAAAAAATGTTAAATTTAGGTGTGAAATTAGTTTTGCAGAGGTGTGAAATTCGTTTTGCAGAACTGTGTGAATAACTTATTTTGATGGTGAAGGTGATCAGTGTCCTTATTTATTAAACTTCACAATATTTTTTTCCTCATAAATATCACATAATAACCTGTGAAATGCGTAATTGCCGCATACATGAGAAGACAAAATATTTGGATAACACATTGGTACCTAATGAAACCAACTCAGTTAAAAAAAAATAATTATGGAAGATTTTACATTCAGTAGAATGGTTATTGAAGATTATAGAAGAAAATCCTACAATTATCCAATATTTCAAATACACTATAATGCTTAACCAATGTCAATTTCAAGTAAATAAATATTATAATTTACACTAACGGATGACAAATGAAAGAATTAAAAAATGTTAAATTTAGGTGTGAAATTAGTTTTGCAGAGGTGTGAAATTAGTTTTGTAAAACTGTGTGAATAGCTTATTTTGATGGTGAAGGTGATCAGTGTCCCTACTTATTAAACTTCACAATGTATTTTTTCTAAGAAATGTGACATAATAACCTGTGAAATGTGTAATTGCCGCATACATGAGAAGACAAAATATTTGGATAACACATTGGTACGTAATGAAACCAACTCAGTTTAAAAAAAAAACAATTACGGAAGATTTTACATTCACTAGAATGGTTATTGAAGATTATTGAAGAAAATCTTACAATAGCTATATTTCAAATACGCTAGAATGCTTAACCAATATCAATTTCAAGTAAAAAAAAAATCATAATTTACACTAACGGATGACAAATGAAAGAATTAAAAAATGTTAAATTTAGGTGTGATATTAGTTTTGCAGAGGTGTGAAATTAGTTTAGTAGAACTGTGTAAATAGCTTATTTTGATGGTGAAGGTAATGTCCCTACTTATTAAACTTCACAATGTATTTTTTCTCATAAATGTCACATAATAACCTGTGAAATGTGTAATTACCGCATACATGAGAAGAAAAAATATTTGGATAACAAATTGGTACCTAATGAAGCCAACTCAGTTAAAAAAAACAATTATGTAAGATTTTACATTCACTAGAATAGTTATTGAAGATTATAGAAAAAATCCTACAATTATCCAACATTTCAAATATGTTAGAATGCTTAACCAATGTCAATTTCAAGTAGAAAAATATCATAATTTACACTAACAGATGATAAATGAAAGAATTAAAAAATGTTAAATTTAGGTGTCAAATTAGTTTTACAGAGGTATGAAATTAGTTTTACAGAACTGTGTCAATAACTTATTTTGATGGTGAAGGTGATCAGAGTTCCTGTGACCAGAATTTTTAGAGCCGGCTCCTTGCCAAGCAAAAATAAATAAAAATAAAAGAAAAAAAAAATAATGGACAGCCGACTCAAGAAGAAATGTGGAGACGGCTCAACCCAATTTTTGGAGACGGCTCAATTAATTTGTAGAGCCGGCTCTTTTGGGCTTTTTTAGAGATGCCGAGAGATGGATGTTTAACGGAAGACAGATTTAACGGAATAATGCGTTTTGCACCATTTTAGTGGAGCCCATAGACATATTACAAACTGAAACACACGTGGCCAAACTAAGGCCTTTCATCAGCTCACAGCAGGGAACTGCAGGGTAACTCACAGCAGAAGATTTGAGCCCGTCTGGGAATAGATCATGTCGGTCACATTGACGCCCACTTCCAGCATACTAAGAAAGTAAACCAAATAATGTGCCTGGCATTAAAATCGCCCAAGCATACTAAGAAAGTAAACCAAAATATATCCCTGCTTATAAATCTGTATATTCAAACTCACTTATAGGCTACGGCCTGTAAGCTCGGTTCCAACTAATCACTTATTTCAGACAATAAATAAGCAAAGATTCTGATTTTTATATTTCCCCACCATTTTTTTTTTTTTTTTTGGATAAGCAAGAAACAAATTGCTTTTTTTATGTTTCCGACCAAATAACACCCTTCCAAAACATCAACAACAGAGGATGAAGAAGTCTTTAAAGAAAACTTTAGATAACATAAATTGTACTCCAGAATAAAGGGAGAGAACAAAACTCTTTCACATTTCATTGCATAACATAACATAAAATTTGGATAATCAACGAGTTGAGACACTAAAACCAAGTTCAAACAAACCAAAACATGGGGGGGGGGGCCTAAAATTTTCCAAACTTCTACCTCTAAAAAACGAGCTCATGGGGCTTCATGCCTGCCTTGAGTGAAAACCTTGCACCCAAATAAGCCTTCAACTCTGGAACGCACTCAATGGCTTTTATCAATGGTTCATCCACAGCTTTCTGGTCATCTTTCTTCTCCTGTGGGAGAACATTCTTCTCCTACATTTCGCAACAATAAATAAACAAACAATGAAAGGTCAGAATAAGCAAAAACCTGTGTTAGTTTCAATGTTTCGTATGATATTAGACAAACCTCTTTATCTGCTTCAAAGAACTCGCCTTCTCCTTTCTTCTTCTTCTTCTCAACTTTCTTTGAGAAATACTTGTCATCGATATTCTCCACCTTGACCCCAGAGATGTCAACCTTAGTTGATGTACCAATCACGTAAGATTGATTGACACGTCTTAGAGGCACACCATTAATCTTGAAAGGTCCTGTAGCAGAAAAGAGGAAAATGAGAACAATCTCAAGTGCTATGCATAAATATGTTGGCCCAAAAACAGTGAAGCGGAGAGATAGGGAAGCACAGGAGTAGTTTTTTTTTTTTTTCTTGTTCTTTTTCTCTTCTTTTCTTTTCATTGTTTTTTTTTTTTTTTTTTTTTTTTTTTTTTTTTTTTTTTTGATCAACAACTATAAATTAAAGTATATATCTTCCATCTACAAACAAATAATCTATACAATAAGAACCATAACCAACACCAGCAAGCCATTTAGGATAAGCTCGTGGATATATGTATGATACAATTATGACAGGGTGATTTTAAAACTCTGAAGTATACCTCAACACCCAATGAAATAATCAGATATGCATGGGGCTCGTTATGGTAGTGGATGATCCCAATGATGATTTCCTTTTCAAGTTGATACATTGAGTCAAGAGAAAAATCAGGACAGCAGGACCCATAACAAAGAAAATTGTATAACAGGCAGCTCGGTATCAAGCCCTAGAAAGCATAGTCCTTCCAAGCCATATATTGAGGAACATAGGATTTGTATGGTTCCTACTAGGGGTGCAATACTTGACACAACACGCGAACACAACAAGATATAAGTGGGTTAGGGTTTTGTCTTAATCATGTTGACCCAATTGACAGGCTAATTAAACGTGTCATGTTCGTGTTTAAAAATACCCTAATAGTATAAAATTTCAAGTAAACGGGTCTTGCCGTGTCAAGTCTTGACCCATTTTTTAAACAAGTTATGCTCGTCGGATCATATTACCTTTTCAATAATTGTGTCATGTTAGTCGTGGTGTCCATGTTGACCCATAAAACATAATTCCCATGTCAAGACACAACATGAATATGACCCAATAAAATAAATTGGCACTCCTAGTTACAACATGAGGATGCAGCCATCAATTACGGCACATACCATCTCAAATGTATATATTAGATATAAAAGACTACGTTGGGGACTAAGTAAATCATAATATTGAGACAGCTATATATAGTCAATACATAGTGGAACTGTATACCAAGTAACAAGTAAAACTTAAAATCCTATGGAAGCATCTACCAAGGCAACCAGCATCAGGTTAACAGTGGCATGAGGTGCAATAGTACAAACATCAAAGTGACATGGCTTAGAAACCTTATCCATAAACATGAGAAAGGAACCCAGCAAAGTGATCATGGAATAATATATATACATACGAAAATATTACTATTATACCATCCAAAGGGATATATACAAGCAACAAACACCCTGTAGCAAAATTAGAAACAAACATTAAATATCCCAGAAGATGCATGTACATTTCTTTAGCAATTTGAAATTAAATCAGCCTTGTCCAAAAATAATTGATCAAACAAGTTTGAATTTCAGACAAGTAGTGCCTGGGACATATTCTGTCAGCCTTGTACAGTTAAGAAATCTTCTTTAAGAAGATCAGAGGGAAAAGCTACTCTTAAGTCCCACACACTGCATTGCATAAAAGTATACAACTACATAGGTGCATCCATATTAAATTATCTTCCAAACAATGGATGAGCAGGGCATCAACTAGGCAATATCCACGAGGCACCTACATCACATAAACTACCAAAAAAATTGTCCAAATAGAGTTACCTATTGTTTATATATGTAAGATAACTTTGTGATTGTAAGGGAAGCTTATGACCGACCACATACTTATTTCAACAGATTTATTGTTTATTTTACCCAAACTTGAAGTTGTGTTGCATAAATCGATCTGTAACAACTTATAAAAAATTGGGGAAAAAAACAAAAAATAAATCCGTTTATTCTCTACGCAATCTTACAAACTTTTGAAGCAGAAGATTTTAACTATGAAATTAGCACTGCTAAATCCACCTTAGAAGAGATCAAACCAATAATATACTACAATAATAAATGATCATTGACTGACACTAATTACATTAGGACCAATATTACCCAAGACAATCAACGAAGATGACTCTTACGGATCACGTTAACAAATAAATCACTCATAAATACAATACAGCTGAAAAAATTCACCAGCAAGTCCACATAATCTTACAAACTTTCGAAGCACAAGATTTTAACTATGAAATTACCAAAACAGATGGATTACCCAAAATCCACCTAAGATGAGCTAAACCAATTACATACTACAAAAACATAAAAATTAAAAAATGCTTACGTTAGGACCAATATTAATGACCCTCGTGGATCAAATTGACGAATGCATAGCTTTTCAAACATGCTCAATTACGATAATAGAGGTGAAAAATCTCACCAGTAACTAGGAGCAACCCAGATGGAAGTTGTTTCAAGAACACAACTCTCTTCCCCTTGAACCTCCCAGCCAGGATAATCAGCACTGTACCCGCAACAATACTAGACCTAGAGAGAGAAAATAAGATCGGAAAGAGAAAAAATTCAGTAAAAACCAATAAATCAAACACCAAATACAAAATGAACACCATCATGATATATATATATATATATATATATATATAGTGGGAGAAAGAGAGTAAAAGATACTTGAGCTTGGTAGGTTTGGGTTTGCGCTTGTTGACAAGGGGCTTCTTGACATCGTCGGCGGGGTAGAACTTTGGCGGCTTCTCGGCGGGCTTAGCCTCAACGGGCTTCTTGTCGTGGCGAGGGAAAGCGCCGCCGTTTTTGGCCTTGATGGCCCAGAGACCTCTCTTGTGGTACATCTGGGATCGAGAGTACTTACCGATGCCCCGAATCAGATCTGGGTTTCGGCTCACCTTGGGATTCTTCTGCTTCGTCGGCGCCATTGATGCTCTCACCCCTTTCTCTCTCTAGAAATGGTAGCACTATCGAAATTGAGACTCGAAAGGTCACAAAACCTGATATATGGCGATAGATATATACGGCGAAATCACAGAAGCAAAACCCTCGAAACCCTAATAATTGGTTTCTTGGCCTCCAGTTCTGATTTGTTGGAGGCCCAAGTAGAAAATGTGGGTTTTTGATAGAGATTTTTTGGTAGCCCAGCCCATATATTTATTTCTTGGAAATTTGCCGAATCTAAAAATTTGCATTTTTCCAAAAACAAAATTAGCAAAATATGAAAGTTTCAATTAAAAAAAATGAATCAATTGATTGGATTTCATCCATATTTTAAAAAAATGTGACTGATTTTCAAATTTTCCAAAAGATGTAAAAATATTATTTTCTTTTGAAAATTGAATTTCTTTTCTATAATTTGATTGTATATATTCAATACTGAAGTTTATATGGATTCAAAAAATGTATGGAATTTTAAAAATTCCCTCATATATTAAATATGGAACTATTAACTTGTTAGTTTGTTTTAGTTATTAAATTCCCTAATGTAGAGGGACTTATTGTTCTTATTTTAAAAATTCCCTCTATATATATGGACAATATTTGTCTACTCACTAGAGCCGGCTCTTCAATGGGGGAGCCGGCCTCGATGTCGAGTGGCGTCCCGTTCCCAGACAAGAAAGCCCCCTGGGGAGCACCAGTTTTGTTTGTAAAGAAGAAGGACGGAACATGTACACAAACTCCCGCTCTAGGGTATCTAGACCAATACTTGAGCCTTATCAACGCCTGACCCAGTCGGAAGTGTGTCGACAAGCCATTTATTTCTTAATAATCCATTTTGTATTCTGTGTTCGTTAAATATTAATTATTTGATATTCCCTTACCTCATTGAAAGTTGTCCTTTATCCAATCATTAGGGGTATTCTGGTATGGTCCGAGGAAACGTGTTGGTCATGATTGTCAAGGGGTTCTAAAAGTAAAAATATAGTTTTTGCAAACCAATGAGTAGGAAGTTTATCCTTACCCCTGATGTGACTCAACAAAAATGTGACAAGTGTTCCTAAAATATAAAAATAATGAAAATTAAATGTTTATCGGATCATCCCAAAAGGATGCAAATCAAATCCTAATTTAACTCTCTCCCTCTCCCCCAAACTACTCCACCGAATCCCTAATCGGCTAATAGTAAAAGTTTTGACTTTTATTTTTCATGATTTAATTTGTAATCCTTATATATACTTATAAATTATTTTTATTTAAAGTACGTGCGCCCAATTACATAAAATCTGGTTTATCTAGTTTACATGATTTGATAGATGATTTGTTAATTACAAGATATATTGTTATTGCTTATTTTTTTGTCTTATGGCAGAAAACAAATATCTATATATCATTATATTTATAGTTATTCTCTCTATTTATCATTTAAACTTTGTTTGTATCTTGTAATATTATTTTATTTAAGAATTTTAGGTTAAAATATTTTTTTCGTTAAGATCCTATTCTCATTCGTTCACTAGACAAAAAGAATAGCCTGAGAAAGAGATGGGGAGAGAGAGTTAAATTTGGATCATATCGAGTTTAATCTAGATAACCTCTCAAATTTTTTAGTTTTTATTATTTTATATTATACAAACACATTCCACTAATTTTTGCATCACATACATCAAGGTAAGTATGAACTTTCTACTCACTAGCGAGTATGCAAGTATTATCTCATATTAAATATGGAGCTATTTACTTATTAGTTATTAACTTATTACCATGTCATTTTCACTAATGTGTAGGGAAGTATTGTCCTCAAATAACAACTTTGATTTTCATTTAAATATATTATGAAAAGGTAAACACCAAAAAATATTTTTTGAAAAAAAAATTAAGGACCATCACAAACATTAGAAAATAAAAATATATATATTTGGACAATACTTAGGTCCTCACTAATGAGAATTTACAATATCCTCACCGCTTATGTGGTCCAATGAAAAAAATACACGTCATCTTTTTATTAAAAGATTAAAAAAGTAAAATAAACCGGATCCTACCCGAATGAAATTGGGTGAAGTGGGAGGTTCAACTGTTGTTCTTTGGTTCTCTCTCTTTCCAGCACCGCCTTCAGCCTTATCTCTCCATCATCTTCTTCCTCGCAAGCTTCTAATCCTGAACATCATCATTTAATTGGCAAGAATTTTTTAAGGAGGTATTTTTTTTATTTTTTATTTTTCCAAACATTTAGGATTATTTTTCTAGAAGGGGGCTTTTCATGAAAAATTATGTTTTAAATTTAAGGATCCATAACCACCCCCCCCCCAAAAAAAAAAGGGATAATACCTCCTTCAAATATTTTTGTCAATTGAATGATGATGTTAGGACTAGAACCTTAAGGGAAAAAAGATGGTGGAGAGAGAGGGCTGAAGGCGGTGCCAGAAACAGAGGAAGTTGAACTCCTTGAAAAAAAAAAATAGTTGCTCCCACTTTACCAGATTTCATTGGGTGGATACGGTTTATTTTATTTTTCTAATCTCGTTAATAAAAGATGACTTGTTCTTTTTTTTCCTAAACCATATAAACGGTGAGGATATTATAAATTCACTAGTGACGACATAAGTGTCGTCCTATTTGTTTTATCTAAAAAAGTTTTATAAAAAGTCCTTTGAAAAATTATTAATTGATAACCGCACTCCAGAATAAGATGTTCGTGTGAAACAAACTACGGAAGTACGGAGCCATAGGAACCCCTGTGGTTGTAGCTATTTCTAGATAATAATCTATACTTAACATTATATTCCAAAATAAATAACATTTTCTATAACCGAATTAACAAAGCCATCAACAAGTCAAGTCACTTCTACTATACGTTTGGGTTTTGGAATAATCAGATGTGTGTTTTTGGGAGAAAATTTGACTACGCAATAGCTCCCGAATAAATTTGATCTCTCTTTAGGCCAAAAAGGGATCCACTCCCTAAATCCTGTTAAAATAAATTCAATAACAATGTCACTCTTTCCATGTAAAGCACTATAAACCGTTAATATGAACAAAAAGACACATGGCAATAAAAAAGTAATGAAAGTGTTTTGAGCTGAGGAACAAGTTTAGCAACTTCACCAGGCATACAATCGTGACGCAATAGAAGGAAAGGGTACAATAGAAAATGAAAATTTTATTCCCGCCCTATCAAAAATTTCGAAGGTTGTGAGATTAGGAGCAAAAACCTCAAGATCTAGTAGACCTTTACAACTTCTTAATGCGAGAAACTTCAAACTGAAGTGATCACAAATGCACAATTTGACCGGAGGGGTACATTCCTTCACCGTCAACCACTCAAGATTCGAACAATTACAGAGCACCCTCTGCAATTCTACTCGGACCGGGCACTCATATCTGGTTTCAGAATGCAACCGCATAAGCGCAAATGCATGCTTTAAGTTGGATGCTTCAGAAAGAAGCTGCAAAGACGCGGTATAAAAATTATTGTAATTATTCTTCATCAAAAAATAATATTTCTCGCATAAAAAGTTGAGCTCGTGCTTCTCAACACTCATTTTAGCCGCCAAACCCACCCATTCATCAATTGGACCACAATACTCTCTTCGAAGACAAAAATAAATCCTCAAGTAGGATATCTTTGGACCCAAGTGAAGCTTTAGAAACTGATTTAATATTTTCAGGAACTCGGACTCGTAATGGTGTCCGGAAAGTGTTCCAAGCATGGTATGGAAATCAAAATTGAGATCCAGGCCTAGTTATAGAGAAATATCTCCATATTCTTGATAAAATACTTATTTTAACACGATCTCTTATTGAGAGTAACGAAATAATGAAACAGAGTATATCGTCCGGCAATGTACTGATTCTATCATCCTTAATAATCACATAAGAAATAAGATCACGATGAATAGTTATACTAAGACAGATTAAAAATCCAAGTATTTAACTAACAATAATATTTATAATAAAAGAAATTAATAACCAACCCATTAGAAAAATTAATTAACGAAGGAGGATTTGTTGAGATTGGGAGCATTCAACAAGTGTTTGTATCTATTTCAAACTCTTCGTACTTTAATTATATATATAGTATAAATTTATATATTTAATAAGATCACAGTCTATTATTAAATTTAATATGAGGTGTGAATATAATTTACCTTATTTTAAAATGCTAAGTAAATTATGATATCTGAAATTTCCTTTCATATATCAGTCTAAATTCAATCTATATCAAAACCATATGAATTTTAATTTAATTTTTAAATTATGACGTTATAAACCTATATCATTCTAAATTCTATCTATTTCAAAACCATATGTATATCATTTTAAATTTTAAATTCCCCCTATTAGTAATTTAAAGCGTGAACCACTAAACGACATCGTTTCATAAAGACAACCGTCCCCCTTTAGTCTATGACGGCACTAAGAGTAAATATCGAAGACTGTGAGGGTTTTTAGCATTTTAAATAAAACACTTAAACCAGTTTCACTCGATTTCAATTGCCGCCTCAACTCTTCGCGCGCAACACTCAAAAAAAACCTAAATTACCCTATCTCTCTCTCTCTAAAATCCATCTTTCTGAGAGGTGTTGTGAATCGGAGCTCTCTCTCTCTACACATATCGGAGCGCTCTCTCTCTCTGCATATTGTAGCATATTTGGAGCATCGGAGATGTTTTACTCGCACACGTTTTTGGCTCGAAAGGGGCCATTGGGAACTGTATGGTGTGCGGCACATCTGGAGCACAAACTGAGGAAGTCTCACTATACCTCTACTGATATACCTTCTACCGTTGGTTCGTTTTTTTTCAATCCTTCCTTGCCTATTTTTTTTTTTTTTTTTTTCTCTTCTTATTAGTCACATACACTTCTTATTAATCACATACCCCATTTAAATAGATCAGATCTGGTTTCGGTTTATAGCTCCCATATGCAGTGGTTCTAAGGATTTTATTTTCATTGTAATGGTGGTTTCTATTATAATTTAGATATGAAATATTATAAATTTGAGATAGAATTTATGTTTTAATTCATTCAATTTTTTTAATTGAAATATTATAGATTTTTATTTATTTTTATATATATTTCATTTGTTACCTAACAAATATATAGCAATGTAATATATTGGATTTGTTTTTTTTTTGAAACGGAATTAGCAAAAGTTACATTTTCATTTTATTTTAATTTTTTTTTTTGAAAAAAACAAAACAAAATTATTTAAATTATTTCACCCTTTCATTAACAGATAGAAAATTGATAGCTTGCCAATTTAGTACAGAATTTGTACTTTCTGTGAAATCCTGTAATCCAAGAATGTAAACTGAGAATTTTCTGATTAGCAATTGATAAATTTCAATTCAAAATCGGGTAGGTATTGGGACTTTTTGATATAATATGTCTATAGGTAAATTTTGGATATCATGTTTTTATGTGTAAATATTGGTGGGTTGAATGTGTCTATACGTAAATGTTAGTTGGTTGATTTAATGAGATGTGAATGTACAGTAGTGCCATACTCTCGGACGAGGTTTTAGAACATTGACTCATACCAATATACATAGGCTTCCTCCTCCCTAATCGATGGCTAGGATAGGCTTCCTCCTCCCTAATCGATGGCTAGGATGCATTTAAATGTTCTTCAAGCTATCAATTTCTACACCTAAGTAGTAAATATCTTTATATTTATAAACTTTAGAAAATTCCCTGCCCTTCCATAATCATACTCGTCTTTTGTAAATTCTTCAATGTTCTAGATTCCTTCCTGCATTATTCCACAATATCCACACAACGCTGAAAGACTCTGGAACTCATCTATACTCATGTCATGCATAACCTTTCTGCAAATAAGCTGTGCTTGACATGTTTATGTAGTTTAGCTTCTAGTTATTGCCTTAATGCAATTATGTTGCATAGTATCATGTTAAGGAGCACATGAAGTGCCTTTTCCAAACAGAATCATATGGTACTTTTTGTTTTCCATTGTGTTTGATGACTGTTGATTATTGTCCAAGTGTATTTTCCAGAGCGCATAATGTTTCCGGAAGTCCCTATTGCACTTAGAATGTCAGGTCATCTTCTTCTGGGTGTTGTCCGGATATATTCAAAGAAGGTTGAATATCTACACCGCGATTGCAAGGACATTCTGATACTATTTGGAAAGGCCTTTGCTCCTACACAAGTTAATCGCCAAGAAGTTAATCTCCCAGAAGATGCGACCCATGCCCCATTTCACTCTGTCACTTTGCCGGACACATTTGAACTCGATGCCATGGATTTGGATGATGGATTTTACTATGAGAGGTAATTTTTTTGGTAACCCATTCCAATTTCTTTTCTTTTTTCTTAAATATGTGAATAATTGATGAATTTTTAATTTCCAGGAATCAGGATAAACATCTTATGAATGCAGAGGAGATAACATGTACAGGTACTAGTAGAACATGTTCTCCCTCCAATTAAGAACATAATATTTATTTTCCTTCCGGTTTATGATTTATTGTTTGTACTTTGGAATTTATCATATTTCAGATCAAATTCCAAGTGGAAGGGATCCTTACATTGCCATCACTTTCGACATGGTAAAACGATTATTTCGTGTTGTATTTAATTGTTACATTATGACCCATCGGAGTTGCATTATCATATAGCAAAGATCTCTATTCTGTATAGGACATTTTGAGGGATTCATCACATGTCGAAGGTGCTTCTGGCTCAAGAGGCAGAGCAATGGAGGACAGGTATGCCTCTGATATAATATGAAAGCTACTGCTCGTATTTCCAACTTTTGAAGAAGTAACTAATTTCATCAATTTATGATTACAGTACCAATCCTTCGCTTCCAGGAGACACAACTGTTAGTTTTCAGGATCCTGGTCCAAGCAATCAGACAGGAATTAATGAAGATAATCATCCACAAAATTTTCCAGCAATGGAAGTTATGCGTGATGCTGTTCATGATTTTAACTTGGAAAATATTCCAGTGTGGCCAGATCAACAGAATGATATACTTGGACCGGACACAACTTTAGAGCGCCAGGTAATGGAGATGGAGATTAGTCCAGTCGTCGAAGAAATGTTAGCTTCTGGAGGGCAGTCTCTCCCATGTGAACAACGTCAAGAACCACCAACTTCTGTTGCTCCAGAACATGCTCCTGAGATTTCTGGTTCACACATTTCATTCGGTAGTTGCAAATGTCTCATTATTGGATGAATGCAACATATGACACGGGTTCAACCAAGACCCAAAGATGCTTTTTACCTTTTTTATTTATTTGCTTTCTTGTTTTGCAGGGAATTTATCACCTGGATTGGCAATTCAACCATCTCCACCCGCTGAACAGCCACAAGCAAGACGAAGAAGGAAGAGGGCGCAATATGATGAGGCTGTTGGATTGACTAATGAGTATGGATGGTTATGTGATTCCTTTGGATTCTTGTTTCTTCTGTTACTTCTTTTATACGAGGATAAAAAAATTTCAGGTTCATGAAGGCTGCCATTGGAGATTCTAATGGTTTGTTGCGGAATAGAATAAATGTCCCTGACTCTTATGTGGATGTTTGGAAGTTCCAGAAAAGATCAAAAAAGGAAAAAATATTCACTGAACCCTTAATTAGTGGTGAGTTTTTTTTTTTCCCTTCATCTTGTAGATATCTACCTCAGTCCAAGAAACTGATTTGACTTATATTTGCAGGTTTGTGTGGAGAACTGTGTAATATTTTTCAGAAAGATTTTATTTCTGCAAAACCTCATTTAGCTGTTGTAGAGGAATCTCATCCCAATCCTAGTGTTGCACAACTCACTGCTTCCATGCCTGATGATGATTTGGGAATTGAACGTCTTCGAGATTTTGAAGACCCTGCTGGCAGCAATGTTTTACCCGAATTGAGGCTGTCTCCGAATATTTGCATTCCTTCAACATCTAGAACAGATGACTTTACTCCTGCCTTTACTGACAATTTAGGCTCACAGTCGGGTTCTCATGTTGAAACAACTATTATGACTAACATGCTACCCACTCCGGATCTGGCAGCATCTACCGGGCCTTTTGGATCCGAGATGGAAACACCAATGACCTTTCCAGAGCAACTAGATGTAGGGGATTTTGTTCTTTCAGATATTCCTGAGGTGATGAATTCGGCAGAAGCAGAAGTAAGTTTATTATGGTTTCGTTCATGTTTTTGTTTCAAGAAGTTTTTTATAGTTGAAAGTATACACGGTTTAGGAAAAGTGTTTCAACCTGTGTCAACTGAGAGGCTTGTGTCTCAAAATGAAATGCATAATCACCGTTAATAGACTTAGAAACTTAAGATTTTACAAAGTACCTGTTTTGCTACTATAAACTTAATTTGCCTTTTATTTGAGCGTTCATTTCACTTTCAGGGTCAACCTTATCAGTTGCAATTTATACATGAATAAAATATTCCGACATAATACCTGTCTGCATCATTTGATAATGATTCTCATTTTTACTTGATTTTATTGAAACAAAGTACTGTAAGGCATAGAGTTCATTCAAGAGTCTTGTATCATTGCATCCATGCATTAGCAGGTCCCCTGCATCATTCAAATCCTCGCTTTTGAGAATTTATAAGTTTAGCACTTACTGGATTTCGCACTTGACTAACCAACCCTTTTCGTTGCAGGACCTGGACTTTTTGGCAGAAGACAACACACCAGCTGGTAAGCTTAGAAACCTTTTTCTATATATATATATATATATATATATGCATACATAAATTAATTGGGTAACATATTAATTTTCGTAGCAGGAATTCAAGGAACTCCAGGAGTTGACCAATTGTCTGCGAGAACAAGGTGGCTTTTCAGAAACTATATAATCTGTCATTAGTGTAGTTTTGCTATTTTTAGTGGCCTTAGCAGTTTCTCTCGTGTGCAGGGCTGTGGCTCAATTTATCAAAAGGAAGTCTTCGGGTACCCCTACCTCAAGAGACTTATCTGGAGATCTCATATTGAACAAGATCTTAGAAGGAAAAAGGAGAAAAATATGTGCACGAATGTTTTTTGAAACATTGGTAAGTCTGAAATCCTTCCAACTTAACAGTTTGACAGAATATTTTTACCCTACTTGTTTAGGAACTTGAGTAGTGGAAATGGAAGTGGTTTTCTATTTGCGTTAACACGTACTGTAATTCTTGCATTGCTTGTATAAAATTTGTAAGAAGTTGTTTGCATGATTTGAGATGGAAAAGGTTGTAATAACCAGTTTAATTTCGAATTCGGAAGAATCCATTTTCTTGGAATGCTGTACAGTCTTTTGTATAATCAATGTGCATTTAGCTTCTTGTGCAATACTTTAGGAAAAAGTAGGTAACTAAATTTAGGGGGAAAAAAAATCAAGTGACGTTAACACAAAGAACCTGCTTGTGTCCTTATATGAATTTCAACTGCATCAATTTCAGTTCATTAACACCAGTCTTTAGTGAAAATGAACTTCTTCTTTTTGTGTGTGTGTGAGAGAGCCCTATGAAAATCCTATTTATGTTGTGTGTTTTTCATGGTTCATTTTAGGTTTTGAAGACTCGTGGACTTGTAGATGTGCAACAGGAAGAACCTTATGGTGATATCACATTGAGGGTGACTTCTAAACTTTCAAAGGACCAGTCTTTAAGTTAAATGTGCTTGGAAGACTTCATGTATATAGGTAAGAAGCTAATCCTTTTGCTCATTTGGGTTACAACATTGAGAACTAGTGCTTATTTCTACTACCATATATGATGGTCATCTGTTGTTAATATATATATATATTTAAAATATGTTTTTTAGAAAATATTTTTCCTTTTCAGGTCAAATATTTTTTTATTTTTACTTTTTTGGTGCTTGGTAAAGGTTTACGTCGGGATTAAGGTCGAATCCATTGGACGGGACATGTAAAATAACTTGCTGAAAATTCATGGATAAGTTACTTTTGTTAGATTTTAATATATTTTTTTCTTCTTAAATATTTTATGACAACCAAACACCAAAAATATATATATATATTTTCTAAAAAATATTTTACATCCAAACAAACAGAGCCGTAATTTTATTTTTCTATTTTATCGCTGTAGATTGACTAGGTTAGGCAAGTCACCTGATTGGGTTGACTAAACACAATTTTGTTAAAGTGCTCTATGGATTCTCCTATTTCCCTCAACCCAGTGGTGTCAACATGACATGGATGTGGTGTGGTAGGATGTCTCTCCTAGGAACTTAAACTGATGCCTTGAATACTCTGAATCATAAGATGGAAGAAGAAATAGGAAAACTCAAATTTGATATAAGAGAACCTATTAATGAAATAGATGAAACATTTTTTTCTTTTCTTTTCAATATATCTCATTTAATTTAACTTCTTATTAAGTATATTTTGAAAGAATAATTACATTATAAATTATGCTATTTATATAACCAATAATTTATATATACATATCGGCAGTGATGGAGTCGGGAATTTTATTTAGTGGTTTTGACATTGAACAATGTCTAAGTTAATTATTTTTTCCAAAATAATAAATTCAAAAAATTAAGTATTGATTGATGATTCTTTTTATTCAGTACATAATTTTGTCCCTGATCAAGTTTCATATTTTGAAAGCGTTGCAAGATAACCCTTTTTTTCGATATATGAAAAAATTCCAATAAATTGCAAGTCTTTACTGTGGCTTCGATCATTTGAGCAACCAATTCTTAAAAAAAGAAAGAAAGAAAGACACAAAGAAAACTAATTTGTTGATGTTAGCAAAATCCATGAAAATTTTATTTTGCATGAAGAATTATTATTATTACAAATGATGAAGTTTTGTATTGTATTAATGCTAATTATGGTTTTATTACAAATGATGAAGTTTTGTATTGTATTAATGCTAATTATGGTTTTATTGGTTTTGGATGCAGTGGGGGTTTGTACAGTGACATCAACAAAATTTCATAACCTTATTATAGATATGCGTAGGCCTATTGTTTTTCTTTTGGAGTATGCTAAATTGTTTCAAATTCTGGTGCTCTCTTCATGTATTTTTGACTATTTATTTGGTGCAATAAAACAGATTTTTGATGAAAATTTTATTTTATTTTGCCTTACCTTTTGCCTGCTTGGTTTAGAAATTTCAAATACTATTGAACCTTTGCTTGAAAATTGGGAAAGAAAGTGTTGTTGAGGTGTATGATGTTCAAGGGCGGATCCAGTATTTCTGAATGGGGTGAGTTAATTTTGGATTGGGCTAATTTGGGATGGGCTATCATTATTATTATTATTATTATTATTTTTTGAACTAGGCTTAAAATAGTATGGTAAAAAAAAAAATTAGGGGTGGGTTGAAGCCCACCTTCGCCCACCCTTGGATCCGCCCTGATGATGTTTTTATTTATTTTTTAACTCTTCCTCTTGTGAAGGTATAGAGATCATCTGTATATCTCATTACTGTTCAAATACACATGAACATATAATTGATATTGGACAATAATTATATTAATCTGACTAGTGATGTGGATTAATAACAAATGTACACATCTTTTTTTAATCACCGAATCATAAATGATAATTAATTCATCATAAAACATGTTCATATATTACCACATCATGTACATCCTCACTGATAATAAGGGCAAAGTGTAAAAAAAAATCTTTTAAATTATTGCCCGAGTACAAGTTGTTATCCTAAACTCTTGATTTGTTGTAATTGATGATAAACAAATCACAAAAAGATTATTTTACCACTTCTCATCAAAATTTTAAATTTTTTGTTAAATTATTTTCATTATCTTTTGTCATATCTAACTATTAATTATATTATTTACCTCAATTTTATTATTAGTATCAATTTATCATTAAAAAGAAGCTTGTTACTATCAATTTTACGACCATTACCTTATTATTACAACTTTACTCTTTGAGTAATACCATGATATCCTGCCATGCCATGCTATCTCTTCCTTTGCTTCAAGCAAGCAAGAACTTCCACTTCTTTTTTCCTCTCGACTTGTGTATTCTTAATCTCATTTAGAAGTTGACGCTTGTTGATGGCTTTGGAGCTGCTTCATCTATAATGATTGTACTGTAATTATCAAAACTTAAGTGATTGAATAAAATATGGGTTGCATTGTTAGCAACGACAGCTTGGCCTACGCACGCCCTTGAAAATTCTTACTCTCAATCTCAAAACTTATTGTTATAAATGAAACTCACTATTTATAAGTCCTCCTCTCTAAGAGATAGCTAGGATGATGCATTAGAGAACTCTCCAGTAAAATTTTATTCAATCTACCAACTTTTATAAATTCCTCAATATTTTAAAATTGTCTATTTATCTCTACATCATTCCAGAATACTCGTGCCACATGTTCTGATGTGATCCAAATATTTAGAATTTCGTCTATATATATATATATATATATATATATATATATATATATATATATGTCAAATAATGAAAATATATCAGGTGTACTTCAAATTTCATGTATATAATATATATATATAGATATAACACATAACAAATTATTATTATTTTAAATTTATACGTATATAATATATATTTCTAATTTACAAATCTACATTAAAACAATATCTATTTAAATATATGGACAAATAATACCATAGATTGTATCTAAATCTAATTTGTTCTACATTGTGTCTAATTTGTATTCATTTTAAGTAGGGGAGGCAAAATGGGTTAAAAATCATCAATCCGTCCATATTCGCTCGCTTTTTAATGATTATGGGTGAACCATATTTAATTTGAGGGTCAAGATGAATTGAGTAACTTTTAACCACTTAATTTGAGGGCCAAAATGGATTGAATATGATTAACCATATTCAATCCATATTTCACCCATCACATAATAAACACAAAACACACATCTATTTTATATTGTATTTAACTCATTTCTCTCTCTAAAATTCTCTCACAATCCTCTCTCTAAATTTGTCTTTCATCAATCCTCTCTCTCTTTAGAAATTTCTTCTAAAATAAATAAATAATTAAAAAATAATTTTTAAAAATTAAAAAATAATAATTAAAAATAATTTTTAAAAATTTAAAATTTAAAAATAAATTTTTTTTAAACCTTCCGAAAAAAATAATTTAAAAATAAAAAAAAATTAAATTTTTAAAAAAATAAATAAAAAATTTTTAAAAAAATAAAAATAAAATGTATGGGGTCACAATAAATTGATTTGAACTATATACCAAATTTTTATTGTAAATATTAGCAATATCATAAAAGGATCTAAACCAAACATTTACGTTTTTAATTTTTCAAAATTATATTTAGGTTTTAATACCTAATTTAGTAAAATCTACGTGGACCACATGAAAAATTCTTTAGCATGACTCCGGAAAAAAGAAAAACAACATTCATAAAACATTTATTACACCTATTTATATGATTTAATTCAAGAATGAAATATGTATATTACATTTAATTCCTGTACTCTTTGTCTTAAACTCCTAATATATAACTCAAAAAATAATTAATTTGTTTAAATTAAAACCTAAAGACCCACAAAATCTTAAAACCAGATTTGTGACTTTACCACAAAGCGCAAAGAGCGTGGAGACGTAAATAAAATAAAATAAAGTAATGAACTATGGAGTGGATAACATAGTATAAAACGACTCTTCTTCATCACTGGGTATTCAATTTTCAGAATTAGTTATGTATTTCTAATATATTGTAAATATTAAAACATAAATAAATTTTTTTTACCCAAGATCCCTCCGTCATGTACCTTGGTATGCCCTTGACACCTTCAGTCATCTAGAGTGAGCTTTTGGACTGAAGATGTCAAGGGATCTTGGTTTAAATTTTGTACATGACGGAGTGATCTTGGTTTAAGTTTTGGTGTGCCCTTGACATCTTCAGTCATCTAGACTCATTAATCGTACATGACGGAGGGATCTAAAAAAAATTAAATAATAAATTTTTTTTAAAAAAAATTAAAAATAAATAAAAAAATTTTAAAAAATAATTAAAAAATTTTAAAAATAAAAATAATTAAAAATAGGTTTATGGGTCATAATGGGTTGACCCTGCCCATTTTCAACCCGTCCATTTTCAACCTCTTCTGAGCTGGTTAAATATGGGTCTTGACCCATGTTGACCTGTCTATTTTCAATCTAACCCAAATTCGACCCAACCCGCCCATTTGGCACCTCTAATTTTAAGCAATTACACACATCAACGATGACCTTTTGCTACATTTTTGCCTTCAAGGAATTGCAGAAGAGTCTTGCTTGGGAATTTTATGGCCTTGTTATGTGTTAGAAGAAACTAGTCATTAAAAATATTTTAATGATGTCATGATTTAACATAAAAAATTACTACTCAAAGACACTAATTTCTAACGACATATGAATAAAAAAAAAACTTCAAAATCATCCACAACTGATTTACATGAATTGAAAAAAACCTCTCTGCCCCTTTATTGTAATATCACCATTGACCCTCAACTAAATAACGCTTAGTAAACCTATTACAGGACTCATCCAGTATACAATTCCAGATTACATATGCATATGTAATCTGATATGAAAGACCAGTATCTAAAACCAGCAGAAAAATAGCGTATATTCTTACATAAAAAACGAATGGGTTTTAACCTAGTTCTAATCAGGGAAAGATTAACAAATAGCACGCTATGAACATGGTTCAATTCTTATTCTGATTCTATTGGTGAATCAACAATAGAAACATTTTTGTAAAAAAGCAATAGAAACTTCCAGGGGCCTTTTAGATGTTTGCAGTATAATGAACATAATTAAAAATTATAACTATTGTTTTGTAATTTTAATTAATAAAAATAATAATTTGTAAATATATCATTACTTTTAAATACTCTATAAAAAATTAATAAAAAATAGTATTTAATAAATTAAAATTATAATGCATTACGCTGAACAAGTACATATAAGTAAATGTATAGACGCTATGCTAAAAAAAAATGTATAGACCATTTTAAGGTGCTTTCGCTTTCATTTCCGTTTTGTGTAACTCCCACCTATTAATTTAAATTTTTAGGTAGAATGATGAATTATTCAACGGTTATAAGGTATATATAATAAATACACAAGAGAGAGAGAGATATCAGTTTTTAAATTAATTTTAGGTAGATTAATATATATGTTTGTGTAACATTAGCTAATTACTCCCTCTCATTGTTGACTAATCAAATAATAGTATTGGGTTTTTCAATAGCAACAAAGGCCAAATTAAGAACTAGGGCGGAAGCCGCCTAGTGTGTGGTCTCATGCCCGTCTAGCTTCGAAGAATGCAGACGAAATAGACACACACACACACACACACACACATATATTAGTATTCAACTGTTCCGGTGTGCAGGGGGAGCACTATTCGTAAATTTGTTTCTATCCATAGATTTAATCAAACCGCTACTACAAAATCACCCATTTCTATTGGTGGTTTGTGGAACTACGATTTCATCCTACTGACTAAAACTGAATTCATCAATAATTTGTTTTACACGATTGGACCAATTGAAGATCGTCTTTTATATGTTTATAAAACCTCCATGAATTATAATTTTTGTATCACCTATATACTCGTTCATTCGGGCACGTACCGACTTACCCATATAAAGACCAGTCGGCGTAGCCGCCTCCACTGAATAATAATTTTTTAATTTATATTATGTACATATAAATTTTATAAAATGTTAACAATGTCCTTATTGAAATTATAAAAAAAAATTCAATGGCGCCCCCTCTCAAGAAAGTTTCTGGGCTCGTCACTGTATACATTGTATTTATGATATGGAGACATAGGTAGGGATGGCAACGGGACGGGTTTGGAGTGGGTTTGCCTAAACCCGTCCCCGCCATGTTGGAATATTGACAAATCCATCCTCGCCCCACAGGTTGCGTTTTCTCTATCCATCCTCGCCCCGTTGGAACATTACTGGGGATGGCAATGGGGCGGGTTTCTCATTCCCCATCCCTGTCCCTGTTTAAATTTGGCACTTCCAAAACCGTCCATAACCGATTATTTTTTTACCCTTAATCTCCATAACCGCCCCCGCCCCATCCTTGCTTGTCCCGTCAC